CCCACATGTGTTTATCGGCCAGGTTGGCACAATAAACTTTAACTATCGCAACCTAGCCTGTCCCCTCTTTGACCCCTCTCTCTATTTCCGCCTCTCCACCCTCTAGCCCAGGGGTCCTCAAACTTTTAAAACAGGGGCCCAGTTCACTGTCCCTCAGACCCATTGGAGAGCCAGACTATAGTTTTAAAAAAAACTATGAACAAATTCCTATGCACACTGCACATATCCTATTTTGAAGTAAAAAAACAAACAGGGCAAAAACACCCGGCAGGCCGGATAAATGTCCTCTGTGGGCCGCATATGGCCCGCCGGCCGTAGTTTGAGGATGCCTGTGCCTGTCTCTCTACTCCATTTTCTCTTGATTTCTCTTGGTCTCCTCTCCACCTGACTCTCTCCCCCCATTCCTCTCCTTTATTGCCCTGCCCCATATCTCCTTTCTTTTCCCCTCTGCTTACTTCTCTTCTTCCCATCCCCCTCTGCTATCTATCTAGACAAGAGAGAGAGAGATATCATTCGTACTCCCCCCCTTTACCTCCATAGCAGCATACTATACATCTGTATTGTACCTTGCACTTTCAATTTAATTTATCTTAGAGATCAGTCCATATGAGTTATAGTGAAACAAGTTCCTTTATGCCACTCTTTACCTTAATCCAGTGGGAAAGTAGTGTGAGAGAGTTTCCCACGAGGTCCCTAGGTGGTTTGCCCCAGTTTTCTACCCTAGAAGGTTTATTGTTTTTAGCCAAGTTGATCAACCTTTCCTGGGTAAACTGTAAACAACTTTGTTTGCTACTTTTTGTCTGCTCCTGGGCTACAGTCTGCACTGCGGTAGTTAAGTATCTTGCCAGGGGTGCAAATGAGGTGAGTTATCACTCCCTGTGCAAAGGAAGTGTGTGGCTTACTGAGAGGTGACTCATCAGTTCATGGCCCAGGTGGGAGGACCATACCTTGACTTTGCCAACAGAGAGAAACAGGGAAAGGGGCAGCGGGAAGAAGCAGAAAGAAAAGATGAGGAACCTTCTAGAAGAACTGTAACATGGGTCAAGGGCTGTGATGCAAAGACAATGACACAGGAGAGGCTTTGCCGCAGAGTTCTGGCAGCTTGGCAGAGCAGCCTGCGCTCAAACGGCGGGCAGGAACCCGTTTTCAGGGAGCCAAGAAGACACCTGCACGGCTGGGAGGGGCTGAGAGGGCAGAGCTGCCCTGCCCTGAAGGGAGACTACCCACAAAGTCCCTGATCCTGTCCAAGGTGTGACCTGTTACTTCCCTAATAAACCACCTTACTGTAAGTTGGGTCTGTGAGTTTTGTGTGGTCATTTGCAATGAGTTCTTAAACCCAGTAGAGATGCAGAGAGCGCCATGGGAAGGGTGACAGGTGGCAGACTTGGACAAAGGTTGCGTTGTGGAGGTACGTATGTCTGTCTTCTGCCTGAGAGGAATCAGCTCTGTGCGGATGGTGTTTGACCTTTACCCCAGCGTGGTCCCCTGAAGTTGAGCAGGTTCCCATGCTACTTCTCCTACCAGTTAACATGTGTATAAAGAGTTTGTCATTCTTTGTCATGGCTGTATAGTAGTTCACGGTTCATGTGTACCCCAAATCCATTTAACTGTACCACACTCGTATTCACAATTGTTCAAGTTATTTTCAGAGCCAAGATTTGAACCTGGGTTATTCAACATCAAGACTGTATTCTTGCTCCACTGCACTGATTTCTCACTTTAATTCCAGGGGTGAGTGAGGGCTTAGTCACCTTTCTGACTCACCCCTTCCTGGTGACCCTCCTGTGAGAGGATGTCCCATTGTCTACAGATGGGCTTTGGGTCTCTGCTCCAACACCCCTTATTCTAAACAATATGGGTTGTTTGTTTGTTTGTTTGTTTGTTTGTTCGGGGTCTTCTGATGCCTGTTACCTGATCCCGTTGACACCTCATGATCACACAGGCTGGTGAGCTTCTTCCATGTAGGCTTGTTGCTTCTCTGCTAGATGGCCACTTGTTTAACTTCAAGTCTTTAAGACCCCAGAAGCTATATCTTTTGATAACTGGGCACCATCAACTTTCTTCACCCCATTTGCTTGTGCACCCATTTTGTCTTCAGCAATCATGCTGGGAAGGTGAGCACCACAGAATGCCAGGTTGTTAAAACAAAATGTTCTTGCATGGAGGGAGGGCTTGAGCAGAGGGCTGGTTTTGCCACCATACAATGCACCTGCTCACACAGTCATCTCGGTGTGCCAGGTTTTTGGCAAAAAACAGCATGCCTTCCTTGTCTCACTCACCGTACTCACCTGATCTCACTCCATGTGACTTCTTTATGCTTCCATGAATGAAGAGGGACATGAAAGGACAGTGATTTGACAACATAGAAGAGGTAAAGAAAAAAAACAAAAAAAAACGAGGGAGATGCTGTCAGCCATTCAAACAGATGACTTTGAAAATTTTTTCCAAGAATGGAATTGCAGATTTGACAAATGTATTAAATGTAATGGAGAGTACTTTGAAGGTGATAAGGTTGTTTTATAAAAAATTTTTAATATTTTTGAGAATGAGGGGGATCAGAGCAGAGACCTGAAACCCATCCGTAGACAATGGGACATCCCCTCACAGAAGGGTCACAAGGAAGGGATGAGTCAACCAGGGTGCAGTATAGCACCAATGAAACACACAATATTCCTCTGGTTCCTTGAGGCTTCCTCACACACCAACCCCCACCCCACTGTCATGACCCCAATCCTGCCTTTCTCTGTGGGCTAGGCCAGAGCATGTACACAGGTACAGACAAGAGCTCAGGACACACGGAATCCAGATCAAATAAACCTCTCAGCAACAGAAATGGGAGTGTTGATACCAGGAGGGGAGGGGGAAGGTGGGGAGAGGAGGGGGGAGGAAACCCTGAGTGAAGGGAGACATCAGTCTGTGGAAAATATGAAAATAATAATAATTTATTTTTAATTTATCAAGGGGTCACACGAGGGTGGGAGAGGGGGAGGGAGGGAAAAAAGAGGAGCTGATACCAAGGGCTCAAATAGCAAGTAAATGTTTAGAAAATGATGATGGCAATATATGTATAAACATGCTTGATACAATTGATGTATGGATGGTTATAAGAGCCCCCAATAAAATGATCTTAAAAAGAACATTTTTTAAAAAGCTCTGCTCTGTCCAGCGCCCTGCCAGTTCTTTCTGGGCGCACCCTCGTCTGTAAAGCTGCTACTTGGCGACAGAGGGCAGTGTGGACTTCCTCGTGTTTTCCCTGTCCTCTGCGGTTGGTGGCAGCTGTTAACAGCAAAGACAGCGCCAGAGTTGTAGGAGTCACTGTGGCCCCCAGTCCCTCTATGCTCCCCTCTCCTGTCTCCAATTTGCAATCTGAAGAGTCCCGGGCAGGACAAATCCCAAGTCCAGATGGCGAATGAATTGTATGTGCATCCATCCGATTCCTTCCGCCAGAACCCATGCAGATGTTTCTACCCATCACGCTGCCCCTTCCCATGAGCCTATCTGTGGCCACGGAACCCCTAGCAGAGGCTCCCGGCGGCTCCCGGCAGACACCTATTGATTGGAATTGACAGGCAATGCCGCTCTCCTTGGTTTGACTCGGGAAATGCAGTGCTAAGGATGCAACGGCACACCTGGTGGTTGAGATTTTTATTGAGTGAGAAGACTGCACAGGGGCATCCTG